GAGAGAGAGAGAGAGAGAGAGAGAGAGAGAGAGAGAGAGAGAGAGAGCCGGGGAGTGGTGGCGCATGCCTTTAATCCCAGCACTTGGGAGGCAGAGGCAGGCGGATTTCTAAATTCGAGGCCAGCCTGTCCTACAGAGTGAGTTCCAGGACAGCCAGGGCTACACAGAGAAACCCTGTCTCGAACCCCACCCCACCCCCCAAAAAAAGATTAATTAAAACAGAGAGAGAGAGAGAGAGAGAGAGAGAGAGACAGAGACAGAGACAGAGAGAGACAGAGAGAGACAGAGAGGGAAGAGGCCTTTCCTGGGGAACTGCAACACAATTCATCCCAGTAAGGGAGCCCATGACAGGCTAAAGCCCAAGTCCACGTTGATGAACCAATGAGTTGTCACTGTGTTATAACAGGTGTGTTGATGAGGGCTTACTTATGGGAGCAGGGATGCCCCCCATCAGCACGCTGACTGCTGTGACGGGAGCCCCGAGCAGGGTGTAGTCAGCGGGCAGCCCACTATCCCCTCCCTGAGTTACTTCTCCGGCAACATTCTCCTTTATTTTCTTGGGAAGGATCCCCCGGACTCAAGTTTTTATTCTCCTTGATATGATGTTTTGTTTATCTCCCGAGGCTCTTGAGCTTCCGGTCTCCTGAGGAGCGTTTCAGTTCTGAGGAAATTGCCACAGCACCCCGGGGAGGCTGCGGGTGGAGACCAAGTGTCTTCCTCAATCTCAGCTCACCTTTTGCTTGAAGTTGTCTCTGAACCTGAAACTGTGTATTTTCTAGGATAGCTGCCCGGGGAGATCTAGAGATCGGTGTGACTTTCTCAACCCAGCTTGGGGGGGTTACAGACAAATGCCACCTGTTCCCCCTTTAAAAGATTTCATTTTTAGCTGTGTAAATTTGTGTTGGGGGAGGGGGTTGTACACGTGAGTGCTGTGCTAGTGGGGACCAGAAGAAGTTGTCAGATCCCCTGGGAGTAAAGCTGTAGACAGTTGAGAAGGAATATGGGTGCTGGGAACCAAACCCAAGCAAGAACAGTAAGTGTTCTTAACTGCTGACCCATCTCCCCAACCTGGAAACATAGATTTTAAACAACCTAACTTTGCGTCTTTTTAAAAAGATTTATTTATTTATTTATTTATTGTATATGAGTGTTTTATCTGCATGTGTAGATGAATGCTACAGAAGGTATCAGATACTGTGGGACTGCACATATGGTTGTGAGCCACCATGTGGGTACTGGGAATTGAGCCCAGGACCTGTAGAAGAGCAGCCAGTGCTTTTTAATAGCTGAGCCATCTCTCCAGTCCCCCAAATTAATTTAATAAAAGCTAGATGGATGTATTTCCCCTGTATTAACAGTCATGTGCACTGTATGGCTGTCTTGTTTATGATTGGAGAATTTAAACAAGTTGCTTGTCTTTCAATTTAGTTTTTTTTTGGTCCATTTTTGATATTATAGCTATGACCTCATGTAGAATGGCTGGCTATACCTCTAGGGAAGACTGGCCCTTTAATATATACAGTATCAGGGCTCTTATCTGTGAATACTGACGATCTGTTTTACTATATTGGTTTTAAACCAGATTTAGTTTGCAAAAGTAAATGGAAAGCCACATTAGAACAGAAATTAGGTAATAATATAGAATTCCTTCGAACTTTAGAAAATAGCATTCTCTTTGTTATGAAATATTAATGACATCAATAGAAGTGAGATTAGAAATGTTAGAAGTCAGGATTTTGTAGTCCTTGTAGGCTTTACCAAATCTTTTTTTTTCTTCATGTAGGGTTTCTCTGTGTAGCCCTGGCTGTCCTGAAACTTCCTCTGCAGACCAGGTTGGCTTCAAACTCAGGGACCTACCTCCCTCTGCCTCCAGAGTGCTGGGATCAAAGGTGTGCACTACTGCCACCCGGCAACCAAATCTTTCTTATGTATATACATACATAAGAATGTGTGTGTGTGTGTGTGTGTGTGTGTGTGTGTGTGTGTGTGTGTGTGTATGCATACATGTAGCTCTGACTCTCCTGGAACTCACTCTACAGACCAGGCTGACCTTGAACTCACCGAGAATTGCTGCTCTGTCTCACCAGTACTGGAGTTTGTATGTGCACCACCAACGTCTTCCATCTTTTTATTATTTCAATGGTAAGAATCGGAAATGGGAGTCCAGAGGAGTAAACACTTAATTTCTATTAGCAAAGTATAAATATTATTTAATTAATATTTTAATCTTGGCTAATTGCATCATATGACACCTTAGATATTAATTTAATTAAGAAATGGAGCACTTGCCGGGTGGTGGTGGCGTACGCCTTTAATCCCAGCACTTGAGAGGCAGAGGCAGGCGGATTTCTGAGTTCGAGAGTTCGAGGCTAGGCTGGCCTACAGAGTGAGTTCCAGGACAGCCAGGGTTACACAGAGAAACCCTGTCTCAAAAAAACCAAAAAAAAAAAAAAAAAAAAAAAAAGAAAGAAAGAAATGGAGCACTTAAAATATAAAACATCACAAATGTTCTTAGAGTTGTTTTTTGAGACAAGGTGTCTCTTCAGTGGTCTGGAATCCACTCTGTAGACCAGACTGGCTTCAAACTTAGAGATCCTCCTGCCTCTGCCCCTGAGTGGTGGGATTAAAGGCACATGCCACTGTTCCCAGCTTTAATATGAATTTTTAATTTATTTTTTAAAATTAACCCATTGACTATCTGTATTTCTTTAATCTAAGCGGTCACCTTAATTAAGTAGTCCCTTTTAGTCCTTTGCCGTAATTTCATACTTTTGAGTGGCATACTGGACATGAGACCAAACATAGTAGTTAGAATTGGAACTTTTTCTTCAAAATGTCTGTTTTACTATGAGCCAAAAGGAAACTGGGCCAATTTATCAACTTGACAAGATTCACATGTCAATCTTGGACCAAGTAAATGGTGTAATGTGTAAGTGTATATAGACAATACATACACACATAACCATGCAGAAGACAAATTGTGTTTTTCTTCTTTCCTTTTCCTTCTTTCTTTCCTTTCCTTCCTCTCTTCTTTTTATTTATTTTTATTTTTTTATTATTTTATTTATTTATTTATTTATTTATTTATTTATTTATTTGCCAGGGTTTCTCTGTGGAGTCCTGGCTGTTTTGGAACTTACTATATAGAACAGGCTGGCCCCAAACTCAGAGATCTGACTGCCTCTGCCTTCCAAGTGCTGGGATTAAATTTTGAAAAACCAAAACCCAAGATTTTGAATGTTCTTGTTTGTTGAAACCATTATCTCCTGTAATCCTCATTGTAAAAAGAAAACAACAGAAAATTCTTTAGCAAACATACATGTTCATTTTAAAAATCTTTTTATCGAAAACAAATGTTTTTATACAATATATTCTGATCAATATATTCACTATTTATTTTCATGTAATCCATATAATAAAGCCCTCCCATTTAACAGTTTCAACAGTTTTATATTAAGAATATTTTGGCAGCAGGGTGTGTGGCACACACCTTTAGTCCCAGCACTCAGGAGTCAGAGGTAGGAGGATATCTATAAATTCGAGGCCAGCCTGGTCTACAAAGCAAGTCCAGGACATTCAGGGCTGGTTATACTGAGAAACCCTGTCTTGAGAAAACAAAACAAAACAAAACAAAAAGTAATAATATTTTGGCTGGGCAGTGTGGCTCACTCCTTTAATCCCTGCATTCAGGAGGCAGAGGCAGGCAAAATTATGTGGTGAATCTCTGACTATTATACAAATGAAATGAAGTTTTAAATTAATGCAGTTAGAACCTGTTTTGGAATGCAACTTTATCTCTTTCTCTCTAGACACATACACACAGTGCTAAATGTTATAGA